CCCCGCCCCCTCCCCCCAATAAAAGTAGAAATTCTGTGCCTACGATCTCTTCAACCTTCCATGGGAATCATCCACCTTGAATGTACCCAAATATTTTTTCTTTTAATGCAGATTGACGAATCGTGATTTTTTTTTTTTTTAGCGCAAATCCATGCACTGGAAGAGCCAAACATCACCGAGAGCCAAAAACGCTTGAATGAGCAAATCAAAATTCAGAGCAATGATGATTGTTATTTTCAATACATTCACTGTTTTATATATATATACATACATGATATTAGATATTATAATAATGTGTAATATACAAAATAATACCTAACGTGAATTTAATAATATTTATTAACAGTCTGACCTTCAAAAATCCAGTATATATATAGGATTTTTGAAGGCCAGACTGTTGATCAATATTATTAAATTCACGTTAGGTATTATTTTGTATATTACACATTATTATCATACCGATTAGCCATTTATATTATATATTATATATATTCACGATTTTGCTGAAAGAGAAAGTGGCACACGTTCTGAAATAGCTGACAATACACTTCCAGCATTGTTTCAGCCAATAAAAGACTCGAATGGAGCGCTATAGGGATAAAGTAGGGTTGTTTATTGAAGGTGATAGATAATAAGTGAACATTTATGAAATCAAAATAAAATCTTTTACAGTATCAGTTTATTACTTAAAAACGACATCTAGTTTTTAGTTATTACATCTCTAGATCTATTTTAGCTATTCACAAAACATTTTTTTTTTACTCATAACCCAAAATCCATCAAAATTCGTAATCAAAACTATTCAGATTTTCAAAATAAATAAATTAAGGCTATATGTAGCTTTGATGAAAATTTTAGAAAAAAATTTTAGTTTTGGAGTACTATGAAAATTTTTATTTGAGGTTTTTTCGAGGTACTACAAATTACAACTCTTTTTCTCCTTAAAAAAATAATCTACTTTGCTCTTTTTTTTTTTTGTATGAAATTTAGTCATTTCACAAATACTCATTGGTACATATCAACAAAAAAATGTAAAAGTTTTCAGTTTTTTATAAATAAAGTTTCTTTTACTGCATAAAGTTTGCCCCAGGAATTTCGGGAGGATGTGACTATGGGTCGTCACTTCTCCATGAAATACTCTTTCATCAGCTATCTCATTCGTCAAAATCCATCGTTATCAAAATATTTGCGATTTTCAAATATTTCCACCGCAAATGTAGCCGAGAGTCAGAAACTGCAGCTCATGTATTGGCCAAATGTGTGAATAAAATGCTCCTTGTCACCCTCCGGCAAGATTCTGAAGGCATCAACAAACATTTAAAAGAACCGCTTATAAGACAATAAAACTAAATTGAAAAATGAAAAAATAGGTTTTTAATCTACTATTTCATCTATTGGAGAAAACAGAAAGGAATCGAATTTCGAACAACCGGTCCCAAAAGGACAAAAAAAATTAAAATCGATCGAAGAATAAAGGGAAAGCTGCAAAGAATCCAATAAAAAGATGGTGTAATAGCGCCTTTATGATGGGCAGGGATGGAGATATTTATGGAGATATCTTGGCTGGATGTTTGAACAGGAGTCAATTTGCATTTAATCAAGAGAGTGGCCCGATATTAAAAGTGGAGAGGTAATGGCTGGAGCGATTGGCCGGGCCTTCATTACAGATCCCTTCATCTCCCATACCCCCCCCCCCCCCTCCGTCTCCTCCGTCCAACCCCCTCGTCTTAGGCCGATATTGCTCCCCTCGGGCTAAGAGTACCAAAGGAAACGTAGGACTTTCCGGGATGTTTCTAGTAATTACAAAGATCCTGGAGAAAAACAGATTCTTTTATTTCGGAGAAGAACAAACATTTCTTGAAATGTTACAAAAGAATTGCAATACACACTCACTCAATAGAATCGCACTGATTGGGTGGGATTTTGATCAAAAATGGCCTGAACATTGCTCGTTTCAATTTCATGTAGGTGACCTGACATTAAGCAACATTGATGTAAAAATTTCCTAAATGAAATTTGTCAAACTGATTTTGACAGGCACGTCCGATTAAGGATTGAGCTTCTGCAGCAAACTTTCCTTTTTCATAATAATACTACAAAATTTACCGATAATGAATGACATTTTCTTCCATATTCACAGTGCAATAGCATACACAATGCTAAGGTAGTTTCAACAAGTGTTAACAGTGTTGTTGACATATTTTAAACAGGATAAACAATCCACCTTATGGATTGATACATCAGATAAGAAGTGTATCATAATGACATAAAAATAAACAGAAAAACCGAAAGGATTTTTGCCAAACCAATAATTTAAAAATAGTCATTGTGATTTTTTAAGTATTTCGCTTATTGTTGGTCTATGTAGCTAACTTATAATTTATTTCCTCATTTTAATCACTGTTATTTTTATTAAATGAATTAGCTTCATAATTACTGTTATTTGTAATGTGCTGTTGATGTAATTTTGCTTAATAATGTGAAAATGGAGGCCGAGATTGTAATCAATAATTTTGATCTTGCTATTGTAAATATGTACATATATTGGGGGCTCGGAAAATAATGTCGTTTTCTTCCAACTAATTCAAACACATAAATTTCACACGAGTTTTTATTTTTAATCATTGGTTGACTCACTTAAAAATGACAATTGGTTTTTGAGAAAAATACATAGAGATGGTATTTTGGATATCATTCAAATTTGCAAATCTTTTGCCACTTAGAAGGTGTTGAAACGATTCAACAACACCTTGGTTCAACATCGGGCGGGTATGGTGTATAGGACAGTACCTCATACCTCATAGGACACCCAAATTTATTAATTTGTTCTAGGGTCCTTCTTACGGAGTGGGATCTTGCATTGTCGTGTTGAAGAATAAAGACTTTTCTGATGACAATCGCTGGTCAATTTTCAATTGATGATTGATTTAAACGATCCAATTGTTCATAATTAAGGTCTGAATTCACAGTTTGTCCAGGTTTCAGCACTTTAAATTGAGCAATGCCGGAAATACAACACCAAACACACACGTCATTATGGGGTTTAAACCTGGCTTAGCAGTATTTCTTGGCGATTCTTTCGGAGAGAGCCACAGCCGTTTGCGTTTTGGATTATCATACAGGACCCATTTTTCATCTCCGATGATCAAGCGTTCAAAAAATGCTTCTGCATTATGCTGTTGAAGCAATAAGTTGCATGTGGGGGATCAGTGGATGGTTGACCAAGGTTGGTTAAGGCTATTTGACAATTCCTTGACTGCCTAATACATTTTTGCCTTTATAAGTCATTGTCTAACATTGTTGGTCTTCCTTACGATACGAGTCGGTAAGATTACCGGATCGAGATTATTGAATTTGAACTTGAAAAAAGACGTTTGGCATTTACGAACGTCTAATGAATTTGAATAAACATCGAAAATGTTTTTGGTAGCAACTGTTTCGTTACTACCCTTTTGAAACTCAAAAAGCATACAATGCCGGATATCTACGTCTTCTGGTATTTGGCCTGACATTTAACAAAAAATTGTAAAAAAGAAATTTCAATGTAATTATTTGCAACTAAAGAAGTCACAATAACCTTAGAATGTCTTTGTCATGACATAGATGTATACAATAAGCTGCCAAATGACAAACAAATAGTGGCATGCTCAGAAACGACATTACTTTCAGGTCCCCCTAATATACGCAAATGTCATAATTAACAGTAAATATATTAGCATTTCTGTTCTCGAATCTTATTTTAATAGATGCTCGGAAATTTTCAACTTCCTCTGTGAAGAACGACACTTGAACTTTCGATCGTTTCATTTCTTCCTTTAATGGCGTTTGTAGCATTTTTAATACGTTGAATTAGTCCATTCCGAGTGTTTACTTTTACTTTTATACTTTATTTTTGAATCAGACGCATAAACAATGATACAATAAAATACTTGAGGACTTGAAGGCCAATTAATTGGACGGCTACGACCAATTCAACGATCTGGAAACCATTCATTCAAATATTTCCTCACAGGCGAAATGAGTGGGAGCTAGGTCATACCGAAAGCGCATTTGCATTATGACATTTAGAGTGTTTAGGCAAATTACTACTTTTAGAAAAAAAAAAGGCAAATAAACTCTAATGAGTTCAACTTCAGGCAAAATACGACATAATTTGGCAGTAGTCTGCATTTTTTTTAGGCAACTAACGGGGTATGTGTATTATTATAAAGCAATGCACCCTTTCTACTGGCATAAGGCAAATCATACTTGGCTTTGGGCCCCTCATCAGTCCAGTGTTTCGTTCTTCCATCTACTAGTGGTTGGTCAGGAATGAGCGCAAGCCTTATTCTCGGGTAGGCTACTGCCGGTTATGTATGTTTTCACAACCTACCGCTAGGCAGCGTTCGGATGCAAAATAATTCACAATACATAGGGAAACACAGTCTAATATTCCATCTAAATCAAACCGTAAAAAATCTAAATAGTAGTCTCCTGTGAAGCAATCCTGTAAATGAAAGAGCCAGAGTACCACATCACATTTATGATTTGTTTACAATCTATTGTAAACAAAATCATAATGATAATACCAAAATGTTAATACAAGTATGAAATGTTATTTTTTTGTGAAATTGTGTTTATTTGTAATAAACAAATGTAAACTACTATTTAAACAAATGTAAATAGGATAGGAACAAGCGACGTTTTAAAATGATTTTCCTGTGTGCAACCCACTCTTGGAGTTTGGTTGCCAGGTATAAAATTGGATGTTCTGGCAGAATTTCACATATTTTCACAGAAGATACATTACTGTATTTTCATTATATCAATTGTAATTCCCTTAAACGGATCCAATGTGTAAAGCATCACCGACGGCTGAGGGACATCCACTGAAGCCCTGGAGCTGAGGGACTACTCAGCATATCCAGAAGAGAGTAGGCCACTCCAGGGATACTCCAGCCTGGCTTCTGTTTACAGTCTGCTTTATAGCCTGGAAAATTGCGTTCTACCTCACCCTGAGGATGGTCGTCCTCTATCCTCCCTCAGGGAATCCGTGTATATCACTGTATTTAGTTCCACGTTACTACTTGTTATTTTCTTCTCAAAATTATACGAAAGAGATAAGTAATAAAATTCAGAAATAAGTAATAAGATTTCCAGAAATAGTGTTTTGCTTTCCAAACGTTGAAATATGGCTGATTTATCATTATAAAGATAAGGATAAAGTTCTAAGGACAAGAATATTTTATCACGTAAATATTCTGATAGTCCTGGGGCAAAAAAGGTGTCATATTTCATACTAAGGTTTGTCCTTATAAATTGATAATATCCACAGGCCTGATGAGAAAAATATACGTCTGCCAGCATACAGCCGCTGGAATACAAAATGGCGGCCATGTGAAGATAGATAGAGACCCTACATAGGTTGTAAGCGTATATATTGAGAGGGCGTATAGATATATTGTGGTCCTCACAGGTTTCGCGGATGACCAGGCAGTGTCGGCGCGTGACAAGGGGGCTGCAGAAAGAGTGATTGACTGCATACAAAGGATATTTAAAGAAATTGATCTGGCTATAAATCCTCAAAAAAGTATGGGCATCGTTATAAATAAAGGAGAGCTGGAAACTACGGTGCTCTCCCTTGAGAATGGTGAGTACATCCAAACATTGAAGAATGGAGATACGATTAAGTATTTAGGATGTACATTCTCGGGAGAGCTACTATTCAACGAAGATTCGGTTATCATATAATACTAAACTGAACTAAATTGAATGATAATTTAAACAAGCTGGTAACCTCTTGCTTACTTAAACCTGAGCAGAAACTCAACATTGTCAATCAATATCTGTTCCTGGATCTTACTTACATTCTCCAAACTGCGCCCCTAACAAAGCTACGTCCTGCTATACTGGAGGGCATCGACACTATGATTCGCAGGAGCGTAAAGGCCATTATTGGACTCCCTGCGAATACTTCCACAGCGATGTTGTATGCCCCCAGGAGATACCGAGGATTGGGATTAATCCGCTGCCAATGGGAGGCTACTCTTCAACATTGGTCCATTGCTCAGCGACTGTCTAATGTACCAGATGCCCTTTTTCAGTCTACCTTCGATTATTCGGCTGAAATTGCTGAATGTGCCGAGAGATTGGGGGTTGATCAGGGTCATCGAAATGTGAAAGCTCTACGGCAGTCGCTACGAGAAAATGCATTTGAGGAATGGGCCAACTGCAGGTGGCAAGGTATTGGTGTTCACCATTTTAAAGAGACCCCGAAAGCGAATAGATACATCTAAGAAAAGCAAGTACTTTCTGGGTCTGAATGATCGAATGCCCTAAAACTAAACATTAATTATGCACACCTGCGTGGAGTCCCAGGAGTCAGCGGACAGGTCAGAGAAGTTGGGTCTCTCTGCCGTAAATGCGGCAGAGAGTCTGAAACACCAGCCCATGTGCTGGGAAAATGCCCCAACAACTCCCTCCTCATAACACGTCGTCACCACCGGGTCAAGTTCGAGTTGATGAGGCTCCTTAGGGAAAAAAAATTCACCTGCTTTGACGAGGTATATAGCATCGATAGTGAAGGCTCTACGAGATAAGCTGATATCGTCGCATTTCCCAAGACAGGAAGGACAGCGCTGATCTTGGATCTAACTGTCCGCTTTGAGAGCAATGACCTCGATCAGGCGGGTGAAGTGGAAAGCGAAAAGAAGAACACGTACGATAAATGTATCCCTTTCCTAAAAGAGAAATTCCGTGAGACCTTCGGAGAGAGAGAGTTCACCGTGAGAGGCCCCTGGTTTGGGTCTCGCGGAACTATCCCAAAAAGAACAAGGAGCTTCCTCGAGGAACTAGGTGTCGACATTAAGGACGTAGCGAGGTTGGCTGAAAATATAGTCCTCGACTACCTGGGAATCATTCAGCACCACGTGCATGGCTAGCCCGAGAGTTTTAATTTATGTATTTTTTTATTTATTTATTTAGTGAATAATTGAAAACAATAGAGATAAAGAGAGAGAAGTGAGAGAAAGAGAAACTTAATGTTAAATAAAAAAAAAAAAGCATGAACAATGAGAAGAAGGAAAAAGGAAAAAAAAAAATTATAAAAATAAATAAAATAATAAAAATGTATATATATATATATATATATATATATATATATATATATATATATATATATATATATCTATTTTACTAATACTTCTGTATATTTATATATAAGTTCATATATTGTCTTAAGTATAGAAGAGTATGCTGTGTATATAGCAACCCAATATAATCGGGCAGCAATCCTTTATATTTTATGAAAATAAAGTGTTTCTCTCCACTAATCTTTCTGCCAGTCTTCAGACATAAAATAATAGCCAGTGGTAACTGGAGCACCATAGTCGTGGATTTCAAGTCGAAAAATTAAATTTACGATTCAAAAAGTTTACATTTTTCGATTTTTCGCTTACATCAGTGAAACTATGCGTTCTATCTATAATAATGTCATGTGTGAAATTAAAGCTGGCAAAATTTTCAATAGAAATGGTTATATTAGTTTTTTCGCTAAATTCTATAGTTTTCGTGATATCCGTCCTCGAAATTCATTAATTTCGAAAAAAAATAATTTTTTTTTGCATCGCATTTTTATCATATTTTGACTCGCCAACTCTTTACTTATTTGTTTTACGAAAAAGTCATGAAGTTGTTTAATATTAAATTTTCTTAAAGAATATATATTATTTTCCTATCTTCTCTTCAGTCATTTAAAGGCAAGAGTAATTGTATCTTAATGATTTAACTCAGAAAATATACAGAAAACTTACTTTTAGCAATTTTCGATATTACACAGCACTTGATCTTTATATAACATACATGTATATACATTGGCTTACATATCGTACATACATAAAATTAGTAAAGATAGAACGCATAGTTTCACTGACATATGCGAAAAACTGAAAAAAGTAAACTTTTTAAATCGTAAATTCAATTTTTCGACTTGAAATCCACGGATATGGGGTGACTGACTGTTATTTCATGTCTTAACATTTTAAATACTATAAATTGGAAGGGTTGATTGGTTTATATATCTATAAGCCCTCTCTATATATATGCTTACAACCTATGGAGGGTCTCTATCTATCTTCAAATGGCCGCCATTTTGTATTACAGCGACTATAATAGTTATAACAGCTGGCAGACGTACATTTTTCTCATGAGGCCTGTGGATATGATCATGAAGAGAAAGCTTAGTATGAAATATGACACCTTGTTTTGCACCGGGCTCTGGGACTATGATGTTTTATGGTGTGTTACATCCAGGTATAATCGATTACTACTCTTTCTAATAGTTTCTAAACCAAACTACCCAAAATATATTAAACAGCTTTAAGCTAAAAAAATATGACAACCTGGTATCAGTCAAACGGATGTCGAACAACATACTTATTTGGTTCTAATGTATCATTTTCCAGAAACCATAATGTTTATAAGGAATTAATAACTGGTTTATAAATAATGACAATATGGCAAAAGCAGGCATAATAATAATTAAGGCTAATTACAGATATTAATCACTGGAAGTAGACAGGGCTGCTACATGTTTGGCTAAGCAAGCCCGCTCGAGTACGCTTCCTTTGATCATTCGACTGGACCAATTGATTAATCAAACCACTTCGTTGTCTTTAGTGTTACTAATGTTTAATAACCATCTGAGGCTGACATCAGTTACGTTAAGTCACAGATCCTCTTTCATGCAATAATAAAACGGTTAGCAAGTAGTTGAAATATAGTTTGACCAATAGTCGGTTCGAACTGCAGAGACATGAAAATATTGGAACATCAAAAGTATTAATGTCAGAAAGATGGCTTAAGCCAACCATAAGTATTGTAAAACGTCTCAGATCCAGATCTTCAACTCATCAAGCAACGTATAAGTTTTATAGTTAGACACTAAAATTCGATCAGCAAGATGGATTAGATGGAAGTTCTCCACTTTTTTCAATGGAACAGGATGTGGGTGGTATCGTACTTGTGAATTTTTAATTTCAGAATTTAAAATATAAATACTAAATATAAATATACGAGGTGAGGCTAATAAATAACTAGACTGTAGTAACGGTGATTAGGAATGGGTTGATAAAATAATTTTTGTATCTAGATACTGTTACTTTTTTGTATCTGATACAAATGGATCTCTGCTTTGTCATTACCTTCCTATTACTTTGTGTGTGATGTAGTATTCATGCAAATCTATGTGACCGCTCCATCTATAACCTTGCAATAATTATAATAAAGGTTTCTATGAATCCTAATCCACTATTATTATATTATAATCGATTATAATTTTGTTATTTTTTAACATAAATTCATTTTTAATTTACTAACTATTTTATATTTGTTAACTTACATTTTTAGTTGTACAAAATTTCTTCAGAACTATCGATTCATTTCTTTAATTTAGTTAAATGTTTATTTGTAGATGAATATATTCAAGTTTGTTATTTTTATTTAATAAATATAATAAAGATAAGGCCATGGAACCTTTTTCTGACTATTATATTAAGCAAATAGTGGATAATTCACAAAAAAATGTATTCTACTAAACTTGTAGAGAATTTTATTTTTTTGCTTCCTCACTACCGAAGAAAGGGAAGTATTTTACTCTTTCGAGAGTTAAAAAAAAATTTTATGCTCTGAATAAAAAATGTCTTCTATCGTTTTACGTTTCAGACCTCAAGGATAAAATTTGGTTCGACGTCTCTGTCTGTATTCTAATCGATGTGACAGGCATATCACCTGCTGCCTTTCATCCGATTTACATGAAATTTCTAGGGATTGTGCGCGTAGGAGTCTAGATAGTCCCATATATATTTTATCAAATTCCATCCACCACTACCACTTGCGAACGCGTAAATGTATTTTCATAGATATCCTAATATTTCAGAAACGGCTCATTCGATTTAGCTTGAAGCTCGAATAAACTTTGATTTTGGTAAAATATTGATTCTATATCGATTTTATTGAATTCCGTCATCTACTTTCTCTTATACATCCGAAAATGCGTTTTCCTCGTCTATATCTCTGATACCGCTAATTCGATTTGACCCAAATTTAGAGGGAAGTAAGGGATCAGTTCACAGATAATTAAGTCAGTATCAATTTTATCAAATTCGATCCACTGCTTTAAAAAACAAAAGACTTCCGTTTCGGATCAGTAAACGAATTATTTCACATGCCTATAGGTTGAAAATAGCTTGTTTGATTTGACCCAAACTTGGGGGAAACCTTTTATCCTCTGTTCTTACTCCATACAAGTCTGCACGCTGATCCGTCCGCTTGTAGTCCTATATACTAAGTCAGGAAATTGATCCCTCTGTTAATATTTCATCCTTCAACAATTTCTGGAGATTGATGCCTCCGTTTATGTTTACGGTGTTAAGGTTGCTCCCTTACACCGCAGACCAAGAGTGAGTGAGTGCTGATCCGCCTGCCACTTAAGGTCATTCTTCTACTCATCTTCCTCCATCCACTGAGTCATATTAGACCTAAAATGAACACACTCTGTCGAGGCCTTCTGGTAACTGCATACTCCTGCACTATACCTTGAAATATTCATCTAACCAAAATATCCAATATGAATATTGAATATTTTTAATATGAATTAAAGCAACATAAGTGATTTTAAAATAAAATAACAATTTTGGATGTACATATTAGTTAGGAAATTTTCTAAAAATACTATTATGAATGAACATTATAAGTTAAAAGTAAAAAGAAGTATAACAAAACTAACAACTAAACAAAACTAAAACAGTAGATGTAAAAATGTATTTAATGAATTGAAGTATAACTATAAAATAGTAATGAAATAAAACAATCATAATTACTTTGAATTATGATTTCCTCATTCCAGTTTTTTCTTTATTTTTTTTGGTTCTTGGTAAAACTGTGCTTTTCCACTGCATGTCTTCTTTTAATGAATTACAAGTTTCAGTAACTTTTTTTTCCAAGTTTGAAGATAAATTTCACAGCTATTCTTAGCTCTTTTGATGCACTTGACATTTTTCCGGCGAAACGAAAAAAAAAAAAGTTAGAATCAACTGGAAGGAAGGGTACAGCTATAAATATGTTTTACATCGAGAGGTACTGCATTGTAAACTGAAGGATCAACGAACAACAATAAGTAGCTGAAGTTATACACTAGCTTCACCTCGTACGGACAACCTTTTATTTTTTTTATTGAGTATTAATACAGTCTGCCACACTGAAGAACATTGTTACTAGGGCTATATTATTCATTCAAACAATATGTACATGAGAAAGGATAATAAATATGAATAACCAAGTAAGAAAAAACAATATATATAAATAAAAAGATAAAGTAATATACAAGATAAATAAAATAACAAATTAAATCCGAATGATAATAAAATGAATAAAACACATTTACACCTGTGTACAATATTTACATTGGTCCAGGGGACTCTGAATCAAGCTTTGTCCCACAAATGTGGAAGCCAAAGCAGGACTCGAGGAGATCCCCGTGCTTCTCTCCCAGCCCCGTCACTGGTATTGTAAGCCAGGACTTGAGTGAAAATCTGGCCAGTGCCAGTACTCCAATATTTACAAAAGGTCGCGGGACCACTGCTGTTTAAACCTGTGCTACAGGATTAGGATAATGAGTGAGATTCTGGTGAAATTTGTCTGGGATTAGGTTAAGTACATTAAGATCATTATGTAGGGTTTTGTTGGTTACATAAAAGGGAGCATCGACTATTGTTCGAAGAACTTTAGACTGTAAGGATTGAAAAGTTAGAAAAGTTTGCTGTCCCCCACAACTAGAGTCCGTAGGTCCAGGTAGGTTTCAGGATTGTCTTGTAGATTATAGTAAAACTGAAAGTTGAGATTTTCTATCGAATAATCTATCCATATCGTCGGCAAAGCTGGGTTC